GAAGGAAGGTTGGGCAATCCTACTTCCGTAGTGATACTGCCTCGGAAACCCAAGGAGGGGTCGCTATGAGTCGGGGCCGACTCGACGGCAAAAAACAACAACATATGTATGTATACATATATGTACACATATGTATGTAGCTGTCTACAAGTACTTTTATATTTTATCCAAAATGATACTACATTTGCTTGTTAGTAGACCTAACATGCTGACCTATAAACCCCATTTCATTCCAGAAATTCGTAGAAATATCCAGTGTCACGTCATTTTAGAAATGTTTGGGGTGGCTCTGAAAAGAGCCTTTGGGTTCTTTGAAAACTAGGCTGAGTTTCTCACTTCTTCAATGCACCCTTCCTAGGGTTTATTTCCTGATTTACTTTCCGCTTCCCAGCCTTAAGCTTCCCTGTTCTGGCCTTTGCTGGGTTCTTCCGCTGTTTGGCCTTGCCACTCTTACCCTTCCTCTCTCTCCTGGCAACTTTCTTAGCTCCTGCTGTCCTTGGCTTCTTGGCTCTCTTGGTCTTGGCACTCTTTGTTGACTTTGAATCCCTGGACAAGCCCCGTTTTTTGGCCTTCCCAAAGCCAGACTTTTTGATTTTGCTCTTGGTGGGCTGTGGAACAACTTTCTTGCTGAGCTTGAAGGAGCCCGAGGCGCCAGTACCCCTGGTCTGCACCAGAATCCCTTTGTTCACCAAGCTCTTGAGGCCCAACTTGATTCGGCTGTTGTTTCTCTCTACGTTGTAGCCGGCCGCCGCCAGGGCCTTCTTGAGTGCCGCCAGAGACATGCCTGCTCGCCCTTGCGACACTGACAACGCCTCAGTGATCAGCTTGGATACAGAGGGCCTCGGGCCCTTGCGGTTTGCACCTGCCAGGCCAACGGGCTTTTTTCCTCTTTTCTTGGCTGGAGGTTTCTCCATACGGGATGGTCCAGGATCAGTTGGGACTGCCGGCGCCGTCTCAGACATAGCAAATAGAAAAACACATCAGATGTAATAACAAGTGAGAAACGAGAAATGAGGTGGGCTTCGAGGCCTTATATAAGGCGGGGTTCGCTGTGATTGGTGCATTGCGAAGTCACCGCCCCGCCCTTAGGAGGAGGAGCGTTTGTGTTTGTTCTGCCCTCAAAAGTTGGATCCCACAAAACTCCTTGGCACCTAATTGCCCAAGTTCCACTGATGAATGATCCTTGGACACTCGTATTTCACACGCCTTACCATTTTTTAATGAAAGTTAGCCCTTTATGTCAAACCTTCGGTAAAACCTTCGATTTTCAGCAAAATCCAAGGGGGGAAAGCAAAGCTTCCTCTTTTCCTTGTAAAATCAAAAGTGATTTTTAGCAGGAGATTTATCTCATCTCTTCCAAGTGGTCTTTCAAATGGTTGGCTTCCACTTAGTGGAGAAAATACTTTACTTGGACCCTGATTTTTATTTTAATTTATTTATGTGTGTGAGGGAAGTAACACAAATCTCTTAGATATCTCCCTGCAAAATTAGATGTTTGTAGAACTGCCTAAAAACTTCAGTGTATGAACATATTTGGGCAAACACAATCTATAAAACCATAATACACAGGGCACATGGTTTCCTTTGGTTAAAGTTCTTTCCCAGACCTTGTAGTTTCAAAGACCCACACGGACAGGGTAAATCACAGGAATACCTGATTGGCCCAAATCACAATGTTTTCATGGATGGTGCCCTAGTCTAAGTTTTGCTTCTGGTTTCATTACTTCAATTTTTTCCCCTCTCTCCTGACTGATAAACATATACAATCACCCTCCCCAGCCATACAATGTCAGGCAGGAATCCCATCCTGAAGAGCCCGGTGGAACCACAGAGGTACAACTCCAACAAGACTGTGGTGCCAGAGCTGTGGGGAAAAGGCTTTTGGAACTGTGTCCAGGATGCTTCACTGCATTCCTCCTTGGTCTGGCCTTTGTGGGGGATCTGGAAACAAAAGTTTGCTAATAAAAACCAGGCTTTTTAGGAGGATGCTGAGGGAGCAGTGCAATGTGGCCAGAGCCCAACCTCAGCAGAAGAAATCCGCATACCTTTTTGTGAAGATCTCCACATGTCTGGGTGAGAAGTTCCTTGGTTATTTTGCAGGCCTAAAAGTCACCAGGGATTTTTAAGGAAAGAGACAGTTTGTTGTGTTATACTTGTGATGATTGTTTTATCTTTACATTTTTTTTGTAGAAATGATCATTATTAAAGACAGCCCTGTGTCAGAGGTGGGAAATCTGATGCACTAATCACTGATGGCAAGGGCTTCATCTACGGAATGTGGAAAAGTAGAGAGTCTGCATCTGAAATATTTCTGAAGCAAAAGCCAAAGGATGAGATTTCTGGCTTTCAAACTTGTTATGTGAGTAAGCTGAAGTAGAAAAGTCTCTCTCTCTCTCTCTCTCTCTCTCTCTCTCTCTCTCTCTCACGCACGCACACACTCACACACATTCACATATACACAGATACATCTGAAACAATTCAGCAAATAATACTACCCTAATGCCTGTACTTTGATATATTCCGTTTTGCAACGTTTCATTTTTAAAAATGTTGTCTGGTGGTGCAGTGCCTAAGGCATTTGACTGCTAACCAGAAGGTTGGTTGTTCAAACCCATCAGCCACTCTGTGGAAGGAAGATGGATCAATCTACTTCCATAAAGATTTCCTGCCTTGGAAACCCATTGGGGGTTGCTATGAGTCGGAATCTACTCTATGGCAGTGAGTTTGGTTTTGTAGTTCCAAACCATGAAATTGATTTCATGATCCATCATCAATGGATTGTGACCCTCACTTTGAAAAATCTTTTACCTTAACATGTGTCTTACCAAAAACCCTTTGTTTTGAATTTGCTTGGTTTCTCTGACCCTTGATGGTCTCTGAGGACTTGTGTCATTAAATATGAGTGGCATAGGGATCTCTCCTAGGAGTAATCTGATCTTTGTATTTGCAGCTTGACAGACATATGCCTTTGGGAGTCCCTGGGTGGTGCAAACCATTAATGTGCTCAGCAGACAATTGAAAGTTGTAGGGTGTGATAGTTGGAGCTGTGTGTCAACTTGGCTGGACCACAATTCTGTGTGGTTTAAGCAGTTGTGATGTGGTTATTCTCATGATGGGACCAGATGTATATGTTTTGAGCAGCCAGTCCATTGAAAGGGAGTTTCCCTAGGGGTGTGGCCTGCTTCCAGTATATTTATGGACATCCTAGGAAAAGAGACACTCTTCTGTGGATTGGGATTCTGTTGTGCTTCTGTAACTGTCTGTGAGGGAACAATCCACCTTCGGCCTGGAGATCTTGGATTCATCATCCGTTGGAGTCAACAGCCAGTATACTGCCTGCCAACCTTGAGCTCCTCAGCCCCTGCAGCTGTGAGAGTCAGGAAAAGCCTCCAGCTTGACATTTGATCCAAGAACTTTGGACTTGCCAGCTTCTCTAAGTGTGTGAGCCATTTTCTTAAGATAAATTTCTCTTTTTTTCTCTCTCTCTAAGCTTTACTGGTTTTGTTTCTCTAGAGAACCCAGTCTAACACGTAGGGTCAAGACTACTGAGTAGTGGAAGAAAGGCCTGGCAATTTACTTCAGAAAAATTAGCCATTGAAAATCCTGTGGAGAAAAATTTTATTCAGATACATATTCCCTTGAGTTAGAATTGACTTTAGGTAAACTGGTAAGCATTTATTTAGGTAAACTTCTGCATCTCTAACTCCTAAAGAGTAAAGCAATGAAAGCAATCACAAAGACAATTTTAAAAAATAAAAATTCTTTACCCATGTATATGGCAGCTTTGGGATTGGAATCAGACAGACTCTCTCTAGAACCTATGCTGTTAATCACTGTGCCAAAAGGAACCTGGAGAGTAGTATTTCATTCACATGAGGTCCAAAAACAAGGAAAAAACAAACAATATATTCTTTAGGGATAAATATGTAGGTGGCAAATAAAAAAATCAAAGCCACTGTCCTTGAGTCGATTCCGACTCCTAGTGACCCCTATTGGGTTTCCAAGGCTGTCAATCTTTAGAGAAGTAGTTTGCCTTATCTTCCTCCCACAGAGCAGCTGGTGAGTTTGAACTGCCAATCTTATAGTAGCAGCCTTACCCACTATGACCCCAGAGTTTGCAAATACCAAAAACCAAACCAAACGCATTGCCATCAAGTTGGATGCAACTCATGGCGACCCCTCCTTGGGTTTACTAGGAGGTACCACCACGGAAGTAGATTGTTCAACCTTCCTTCCGAGGAGTGACTGGTGGGTTTGAACCATCAGCCTTCTGGTTAGCAGTCAAGTAGAAGGGCTATATTAAGCAATTCACTGCACTTCAGCAGCTGATAAATATGTTACACTTTAACCTGAGATCCTACTTGTTGTTCTTTAAATAGTACCTTGATTCCAATTATGTCCATTGTTTTGCAGCACACTTTTTTTCTTATTGGGCCATGGCTAATAAAATCATGACAAAAATTTGACCGTCACTAATAATGAAGGAAATACAACTTAAAATGAGAAGAAGAAAAAAAAAAGTTTGTTTTGGCCTATGAGGTTGACAATGCCTTCTTTAAAAAAAAAAAAAAAAACTTTCAGTGTAAGTATGAGTGCAGTAAAACAGAAGTTTCCACATTATGTTGGGATTATTAATTGGTAGGGAGCTCTGGTGGCATAGTGCTTAAGGCATTTTGACTGCTAACCAGAAGGCTGGTGTTTCAAACCCACCAGCCACTCCTCGGAAGAAAGGTTGGGCAATCTACTTCCATAGTGATACCGCCTCGGAAACCCAAGGAGGGGTCGCTATGAGTCGGATCCCACTCAATGACAGTGAGTTTGGGTTTTTTTTGGTTTTCCTTTTTTTGTATTAATTGGTATGGTTCTTCTAGATTTACATGTTGGGCAACATAAAAGTTTTTACCCTTTGATCTAGATTTTGTCTAGATTTCTATTTTTAGAACTCTAACCCAAAAACGAACAAGTATTTAACAAAAATTTAGGTGCAAAGATGTGTGATCTGTATGATCTATAAGCATAAAAATGGGATTCAACTCAAACATCCAATAACAGAGAACTAATTACATAATGCAGTGTAGTAAATTACTTAGTGTGGCTTTTCTACCCATAAGTCTTTGTAAACTCCAAGGTGGGAATTGCTATTAGCAACTGAGGAGATCCTGATTTTAAAGTCGCCCACCTTGGGTTATTTCTGTTGGGCGTGGCACAATACAATGTTCTGGGAGGTTCCCACTCTCTCTCACATGCTTAGAGTTCTGATGCTGTGATTGGCTAGTTTGACCACCCTTCCGGGCTCAAAAGGAGGCCTCTTGGAGGCAGAACTCTCTCTGACTGCTGGTGGAGGAAGACGTGCTGCCGAAAGAGACACGCACCCCTGAAAGAGACACGTGCTGCTGGGAAAGAGCCGCAAGAGACACGCATCACTGAGTGAGACACCGAGGGACCAGCACTGCTGGAAAAGAGACTGTGAGAGACTGTTGGCTGAGGGATGGTGGGCTGGGAGAGAGACTGAGCGTTCTTCCTGGACTTGAGTTGTAGCCTGGTGCTTCCCTAATAAACCCCATAATCTGTGAGTTCTGTGTGGCCACTGCAGTGAATTATCGAACCCAGGAGAGAGGTGGTGGGTGCCTTGGGAGGAACGGTTGGTGAAAGGGCTGGAGGAAGGCAACATGTCTGGCCTGGCAGGAATAGGCCTTGGGTTACTGCTGGTAATCCTGTCTTCCCCTTGTGGGATTAGAGGAGGTCAGAACATGTGGCCTCCTTGTCGTTTTTGCACATAAGTAATGAGATATCCAAAAATTAAATATTATACATCTATGAAAAAATATTTGTAGGCATATTTAGTTACCTAGAAAATCATATATATATATAAATTTGTATCATATGTATTCATACACATATATATATCACATAATACAGAAACAATAGGAGATACTAGGGATGATTTTAATTTTCTTTATATACTTTTTGTTTTACAATTTCTGCAATGAACAGGTGATATTTTAAAATACTGGGGGGAAAAAAAGTAAATGTTTTGGCCAGATGCTTACTTATTAATCCTTCCTGATAAAAAGTACTTCTATTTATCTTCTTCTAAGTATCATTTTTATTG